ATTTTTAGAGCTCTGGTAATAGTTATTCATCAATTTACGAATATTTATCATTTTCATCTGGCAACCAGGCAACACCGCTTAAGTTAGTCACACCATGGTGTCCACAAACCACGTGATCATGAACGCTCTCTCATTCTAGGCGCCCCCATGATCGCCCAAGCTCTCCTCGCCGCGGTATAATCAAAACCGCTCACGCAACTCGGTAACCAGAATGCTATTCTCACTTTCGTCCCCGGCCCGTTGACCTTCCGACCTGCATGCGCCGCGAGATATTCCCGGACGACAGTGACCACGGCGACTTCGTCCGTAACTCGCCGTCGCTGGAGCTGGTCGCCAGCGGGTTGCAGTAAATATGAACAGCTTCCAACATCTCTTGATAGCAATCACCCTCATCGCTGCTGCGATCAATGTCGAACACTTTGACAAGACCAGCGCTGCCGTAGACGTAATCCTCACGGACCGCATGCTCTAAACGCGGGAGGTAAACGAAGAAGCTGAAGGTCAACACGCCAAGAGAGCCAAGTCTGTGAGTGCGTGCAAGGTCACACCGCGCGGGAGGCTGGCTACGCCACCAGCCTCCCGCTCCGCCCAGATCCACCCCTCCGAGGGACCCGCATATAAGTCGATTTACAAACGAAACTATCGCGCCATATTCAAAACAAATTTATCAGGATTATAGGAACATACAATCGGTCCTAGCACTACTGTTATCTTATATTTTATTTTTGGCGTGTCATAACCCCTTTAAGCCCCCCCCCCCCCCCCCCCCCCCCTTAGTTGATGTGTAAACAGCAATCCAAGTGTCCCCTCACTTGTTCTCTCGGAGTTCGGATACTCATTCCCCCACCCACGATGTTTGCATCGAGCAGACTGATCAGCTGCCTTCATATTTGGACGGCAACTGGGGAGACTCGCCAGCAGCATGAGGTAGGCTCTGTGATTATCCAAAGTGATTCAGCTAAGTGGCCAGCTGTTATTACTGACAGGTTTCGGGATGAATGCATCGTGAAAAGGCCAAAGTATTTTAGAGTTTCGCGGAAACATTCTCGTTTCCGAAATAAATTTGTACAAAAGTTAGAAACTCTTTATGCGTGAAAGACTAAATGGGGAAGCGGAGTATGTATCGTAGGCCACGCGCACCGCTGTTCGCATTTCATTAGTACTCGATAGTGCACGAGGAAGCTCTGTCACCGCGAAAATAAGGCTAGGTAAGTGGTATCTGGGAAGCCGGTATTCTGCTTTTTTAACATTAGTGACGGCAAACGAACCAGCTTACCATTTCTAAGTATCGATGCGTACTGTACAATGGAATACAGATAGAAGTTGATAAAGTTGGGTGTTTCCGTGTCAGTTCATGCAATGACAGTCCGGGTTATATTTTGTATATTTATGTAAAATGTATATTATATGAAATGCATGTTCTTGGTAGAACCACACACCTATATAGTATATACTATATACTTGTGTTATATATACTATAACACAAGGTGTTTCACGAAACGCGGCCAAATCATTCACGTGAAAAGTACGCATCGCACAGAATGGTTGATGTAGTAAAGGTCCCTGCTAAAGGCAACTTTAGGTAAAGAGAACAGTGTTTGATGTAATTAGCTTAATTACTTTTAGTAAATAAATTCATAATTAATCAATTTTAAGATATAAGTATCATTTCAATTAGAAACATGTTGAGAATTATCGAAAACTATTAAATCCACCCATATGATAAAGATACAAGGCATGCGCCGCATTCTACAGCGCTCCGAAAACAATTTTTGAAAGCGGGGTCTTAGGAGGCACTGCCAGGAAACACAAATATAAAACTAAGCTAGGGACAGCACGAGTTTCTACACCCTAATCTAAAGCAGCACCGCTGCACAGCCTTTGTCGGTTCTAAAAAATGTCTTTTTGGAGACGACGTCGTGCGCCAAAGTCCCTATAACGAAGACAAGCTAGCTCAATTTGAGTAAAGGTTCGTCATCGTATTTCTCTTTTGGAGTTTTTATGCTACTGAATGTTTTGCCATCACAAGTTAGATTAAGTCACTTCAGACGATTATGGAGAGTTTAAAAGAAAAAAAAAAAAAGGGTGGAGATTTGTTTTTATATTGACGGGAAATTTCGCCACATTTAAGAAACCAGCTGCGTTTTGGCATTAATAACACAACTACAATAATGGCTAAGGATATATTTGTTATATACTTGTGAAATTCATTTAGAGATGCTCACTTTTATATATTTTCCGCCATTTTATATAAAGTAGTTTGTTGGTAAATAATTTGTAAATGTGTCTCTAAAATGTGTTGACTTGACGTGTTTCGTAGCTTTTCTTGTAATTTTTCTTCTTTTTTTTTTTTTTTACAGCGAAGCTGTATATGACTCGTTGGTCGGATTTCTTTGTGTCCGTCGACAAAACAGGGGTCGACAGAAAACCATCGCGCGCGCCTTATCATTGTTCGCGAGCGCCCTATCATCTATCATATGGTTTTGGCACTTGTTTCAATAAGAAATCTA